TGGCGTAAGGTTTGTTAAAAGGTGACCTCCTTGCAGGTGGAAGAGATGGCGGCAGCAGCTAGACGTCTGCGGTGGGTCTTGTCTTGGTCATGAAAAGGACAAGGTAGCATAGTTGCAGCAGCCTTTTCAGGGATACAAATCTTGACAATGTAATGCTCTCCGAAGGTAAGTAACAAGGAAATGAATCCTAGAATCATCAGCTCTGCATTCATTTCATACATGTGTGGAATTTATAATTTTCTCAAGAAAAGACAGAGTAGCTAGGAAAAAAACAAGTGTTTGATCTTACCGGCCTTTATTTTTTCCAAGGCTTCAAGCAGAGAGTTCTTATGTTTCTCCCACAACCACTGCGAATAAAAGACAGAGTTCATATTAGAGGAGAAGACATGCGGAAGGAAGGCAAGGAAGAAAAGGGGCAAACCGTGGCGACTTTGTGAAGAGCCTTCTCGAGGAGAACGGAGACAAGGATGAAGAAGGTACAGACGAGGGCAACGGCCCAAGTGGGAGTCTCGGTGAGCTGTTTTTCATCGACGGCGCCTGCAGAGGAAGCTCTGACGCAGGCGGGAAGCAGAAGAGAGCACAAGAGCAGAGTGGTCCTTTTGTCCAAAAAGCATCTTGTGGCCATGGTAGCCAAAACAAAGAGGAGATTCCTTTTGTCCTTGATTACGTTAAACAACAACTAACGAAGAGACTAAAAAACATAAGAGAAATAAATGCAGTCTTGACTTGAACGTCCGTGATATGTTTTTGTGATAAGATATATCAATGCTGTTCGACACTGGAGGGCTTAGGATGATCAAAACTAATTAAGACCTCATGTCTCTACCCATAACCGTAAACCCTTACAATCAACAAATAACTTGTAATAGACTCTTGTGGCCCTATCAAAAACTAAGTATCTAGAGGGCTTTGGATTATCAACACAAATGACAATTTAATTGCTTATGAGAGCTCAGAGGGGGTAGTAGAAGACACTCATCTTGACTAATTGGTTTTGCTTTTATGATTTCTTTCTGCTTTTATTAAGATGTATGCCAACTTGCCACTTTACAGATATAATAAAATAAAATCATCTTACTCTTGGCCATATTGCTCCACTACCTACCACCTTTTTGTCTTTCTTTTCGTTTCCTTATTTATTCACCTATATGTTTTTTATTTACACCATGGAGTGGAATTGGATAATTAATCTCTTATGATAACCTTCATTCTTTATTGGAAAAATGTATAGACTAATATGTTGTGAACCATCATCCCAAGTATAGAAATATCTTTTGGACTACACAAATTATAATGTAACATATGGTGATATATATCAACTATATGTAAACATATTAAAAACTACAAAATTTGTGTTTTTTTATAAATATTTATCAATTTAGGGGTCAATTTGTAATTATTTTTATTAAAAAAAATAAAAAAATCCAAAATAATTTAAAACTTACAAAATTAACAAATCAAAAGAAAATTCCAAAATTTAAGGAAAAATAATTATTAAATTCTAGATAAAAATTAAATTATAGTTTCAATTTTTAATTTTATATAAAAATTAAATTTGTATAATCCCAAAATTTCTAAAATTACAAAGTAACCAAAAAAAAAATAATTCCAAAAAATCTTAAATTTATAACAAAAACATAATTTGAAGTTTAATATAAATATTTAATTATATTTTCAATTTTAATTTCAGAAACCAAATTAAATTTTTAAAATTACCAAAATTTATAATAATACAAAATTTCGAAAAAAAAATCTAAAAAATCTATTTTTTTTGGACATTTGCAAAAATGCCACTTTTGGTGTGCCACTTTTCAAAAGTGCCACAATGGATTGTAAATTTGCAAAAATACCACTAATTATGAATTTTTAAAGCCTATCTTAAAATTCTAAACCCTAAAAAATGTTTTGACCCCTAACAAACTCTTAACTCTAATACAACATAGTTAACTCAAACATAAATAATATAATGAATAAATAATTTTGAAAAATGGCATTTTTGCAAAGATTTTGAAAAGATGGTATTTTTGAAAAGTGGCACTTCAAAATGGCATTTCTCAAAAAAAAAAAAAATTTAAACAACAATTTATAGTGTAGATATAAGTTAGATTATATTTGCAATTCACTAGTTAATATTGAGATAATACCGAAAATACCAGTAAAAATCTTTTCCAAAGAAAAAGTGTAATATATGTCGTTTATATATTTTATTCTAAATTATTGAAATTTATTCAACATAATTTAAACTATATTTGTTGACTAACATTAATAAAAAAATCTTTGTTTTTGTCTAACAAATTTATAAGAAATTTCAAAAAATGCTACTTTTCAAGTGCCACTTTAAATTACAAAAATGTCACACTTTTGAAATTTTTACAAAAAAATACCACTTTTTCAAAATTATTTTTTCTTTATATTATTTATGTTTGGGTTAATTATATTCTATTAGGTTTAGTTATGAGGGTTTAGGGGGGTTTATGGGTCAAAACATTTTTTAGTGTTTAGAATTTTAAGATATAGGGTTTAAAAATCTATAATTAGTGGCATTTTTGCAAATAAATACCATAAGTGGCATTTTTGCAAATGTGCACATAAAAAATGACATTTTTGCAATTTCTCCCAAATTTATTGGTTTCAAAATATATAATTTTGGAACTCCATATACCTTACATTTTCAATTACCTTTTAGAGATTAATAATTTTGTAATTATAGAAACTTTAAGATTTTCAAATTTAATTTTCTATAAAATGAAAAATGAAACTATAATTTTAATTTTTATCTAAAATTTAATTCTTATTTTTATAAAAAAAAATTGAACTTTTATGGATTTTTTTTTATTTGTTAAGTTTTGTATGTTTTAATTTTTGAATTTTTTTAAAAAAATTATTTTTTATAAAAATAATTACAAATTGACTCCTAAATTGATATAAAAAAACACCAATTGTGTAGTTTTAATATGTTTACATATATTTGATGTATATCACTATGTAATACATAATAGTCGATAGTTTAGATACTTGCTAACATATTAGTCAATTATTTCGTGTAACTAACAACTTTTTCACCTTTATTTTGTCATCATATACCGTTAGTGGATGGGCCCCGCCATGTCTAAATGATTTTGAAAATAATGGGCCAAACCCAAATTTAGACCTCATGATATGGACTCTTCTAGGCCTAGCATCTACTACTTAACCAAAGGAAAAAGACTAGCATTCTCTTTTGCTATGTCAAGAGCAATGTAATTGTAAACTGTTCCTTTGTGTAGACACGCCAGTTCCAAGTCATACATGATGCAACTATCTTATCTCCCGGACTCGTTCTACCACAAACCTGGTCTCATCATTCTTTGCCTTTTCTTGTTTAAATAAATATTTGACTTTCTTTTAATTTATTATTCTTATCCTGAGCTAAGATACGTAATTCACTGAGACATATATACAAATATACAAGCAAAAGACGCTTTCTCCCACAAGATTTTTTAGCCTGTCACAATTTTATTATATTAGATTATTTTCCTCCAATTAAATTACACTGTTTTCCATGTGTGTATGTGCTAGGCTTGTGAAATGAGAGTTGACATATTTATTATTGATTTTATATGTAATAAAGTAGAGAGAATGATGATGAGAACTGTGGACTTGGCATCGCAATCGCAGCCATCGCTGAAGCTTGGAAATTGGAAGAATGTTTCATATATATTATGTTAGACAATTATATTAATATATCACTAAAAGGTAAAAATCGGCCACTTTGGAAAAAAATGTTAGTTTGTGTTGGACAAATGATACTGATTACATCACAAATTAAGGAAAGAAAGACATAATTTTTTTTTTGTGTGTGTATATATATATATATAGGGAGCAATTGGACCACTGACGAGTCTTACTTTGATTCTGTCAACAGTAACCTGAGACGATCCCAAAAGCCTCTCGTCCCTTTGGATCTTCTGATTTTGATGTCCATGTACACCACCTGAGACCTACACTAGAAGCCAACTTGTCCTTCTAAATCTCCCATTTAGCTTGCATGCCTTCTCATCCTATTGAAAAGTTGAACTCTTCTTCTTCATGTACCTCCACTCCTCTACATATTTAATATATACCCGTTAATCCTCTCCATCTGCT